ATAATTTTTTACCTTTGACACAACTACCGCCGCGAACTATAGACATAGACATGGTTAGAAGCATGAAAATGGTAAGGAGGCGGCGAGACGGGAATTTTGACTTAATGATTAATAATCAAGTATTTCTGGATTTTATTCTTCCAAACCCAGCTCGCACAGACATCCGTAACCAAAATAATTATTTTCATGTTGAAAATCCAGTCCCCGCGAATGTTCTTGAGAATGTTAATGCTGGCGAGGAGAATGTTGACACACTTCCACACACTGCACGTGTCACTTCTGAAAATATTGCAGGTACATCATCGAGGAGCAGACCCAGAAGAAGAAGTGAAGACACACCTACCACTCTCGATGACATATATGCTAAGATGATGCGATGGAGCGAATTAGACGCTCAGCGTGATCAAAGAATTCAGAGTATCGAAGCTCAGCAAGCTGAGATGATGCAGATCCTCCGATAGACGCAAAGTGAATAACATAGCATGTCTGGCTTGATCACAGAGATGACAGATTTATTAGTGTGCATGGAACATTCTAAAGAGCCACCTAACCAGCTTGGAAATGGTAGGCGGGCACGAACTTGCGGCAAAGGCCGCCAATAGAAGACTTTCCAGGTTCTACCTTCCTTTCTTGCCTTAAGTCGTTGCATTGGGGACAATGCTCGATTTAAGTATGGGGGAGGAAGCTTTATCGCTTTTATTATGTTATGTTATCTCTTTGTTTAGCGTTAATAAAATAAAATTCATGTACTGTCGAGTCATTATACGCAATTTCCGCCATTTATTAGATTCTCCCAAATTCTTGAGCCATAACATAATTTTTAATTTCGGTTTGATGCATGACACAGACCCAAAAAGTATATTGTTTGGTTTAGGCTAAGTTCGAGAGACTTGGGAAGGTATTGATAATATTGGTATCGTTTTGACACCCTGAACTCCCCGAGTATGCTGATGAATTTGAATACTTATTATGTCGAGACCGTAAATTCTAGAGTAACCTTTTGATTAGTTTATACTAGCAGTCAACACCATCCTAAAGCACAACCTAAGTAACAAACTGATGCAAATACGTGTTTGATCTCAAAAATGTGAATTAAAAATAATTATTAGAAAAGGTGAATGAAAGATATGCTCTTACTAAGTTAGGTGGTTCTTACTCGACCATTTAGCCCAAGGGGTTGGACTCTTGAAATTCAAAAATGCACAAGAAAAAGAATAAGAAAAAGTTTTGAAAAAGAGATCAATAAACACTAACAGGTTTACTTACCATGGGTGTGCAAGGATAACGAACTTAATGTGATTGCGCGAGAATGAAAAAGAGGTGAAAATGAATAGGTGGAGTTATAATAACATGATTCGAACTTGTCTGCACAGGGAGGGAGTTCTTGATTTCACTCAGTAATTTTGTGTCATTACGATATCCTTAGTATTTCTATCTAGTACCTATCTTTCGTACGAAAGCCTTGCAACAATGTATGATTTGTGTTATGTCATGTTAAGAACCATGCTTAGTATGTTTTATTTGCTTGAGGACAAGCAAAAGTTTAAGCGTGGGGGAGTTTGTTGGCTTGACTTACATGAATTTTATTTGAGATTATTGTTAATTTATATGATTTATGTTTTATTATGTAAATATTTTATTATGTTTTGTAGGAAGAAGGAAAGAATTGGAAAAGAAAGACAGAAGAAGAAAAACAAAGAAGAAAGAAAGAAATAGAAAGAAAAAAAAAGTGGGGGCCACCACACACTAGTGGCACATGCCACATGTGTGTGACGCCTGTCACCTAGAATGAAGAAGAGGAAGTGGCGAGTGTCACTCCTAAAAGCAAGGAGAATGGCGAGTGCCACTATGTAGCAAGGGAGAGAAGTGTGGCGCCTGCCACAATGAATTATAGGAGAAGGTGGTGGGTGCCACCTGATGAAAACGACCCCTACAATTTCTCTATTCATTCTACACTTTCTCTAGTTTTTCCTGCACGCTACGAAATTATTGGAAATGAATTTTGTGGGTAACTGGCCAGGGGCAACAAATATAAAAGCAAGACGGTTTCCAAGCAGACAGTCTCTCATTCTTCTTCCCTGAATCAGAGTTTTATTTTCCTTAGTCTTTAGGCAGTTTTTACTATTTGTAAAAGCAATAGTTTTTCACACAGAGAAACTATTGCAATTTATTATTAGGATTTATTTTGTTGTTCGTGATTTGTACTAAATTCAAAGCTTGCCTCCATAATCCAAGTTTTTCCAGTTCTTCGTAATTTCTAGGTTTTGCTTATTTACTTTTATTGTTATGTTTTTCATTTATATTTTGTTTGGCCTTATGATTAATTCTTGTCATTGTATGCATTGTTTACAAACCATGTCTAGCTAAACTGTTTAATATCGGTATGTAAATACGATCGGTTGGAAGGGGTTTAATAATTCATGGCGTGAACTTAATAAATTTATTTCTCTGGTCTTGGTTTCTTTTTACTAAACTTAATAACTTTTGTTACAAGAGTAAAAAGGTAACGAAGGTTAGGATCAATAAAGCGAGAGTTTGAGGTCCTAACCGGATAGATGAAACTAAACATTAATTCTAAATACAGCGAGAGCGCTTTAGAATTAGTTAGGATCTACTTATTTTTAAAAAGTGTTTTTAAATGCAAATGAGAGGGCGAGATCCTTCATTCTGATTTGAGAGTATAATATGAGTCAATAAACACGAGAGTGTGAGATAAAGTATTTTAAATGAGTATTTTCTACATAATAATATTTTGATCTTCTAATAACGCCCATGAATTATTGAATCCCCGATGATTGACAAACTACATACCGATATTTTGTCATATCTTGATTTTAATCATATGTTAATTTACATTTATTTTCTTCCATTTCAACCTAAAAAAAATCCATTAGCCTGAGATTTTACTTAGTAGCATTAGATAACGGTAAGATTAATTCTTAGTCCTTTGGGTTCGATAATCTTTAAAACTACACGATTCGACTGTGCACTTGCAGTCACGAATCGTTTAGACATACTAAGTCGCGATCAAACACAATGGGTTCTGAAGTGTGTAAGATGGTTATGGACATTCTTAACAATAATGAAGACCAAATTAGGATAAATAACACCTATATAGCTCTCATTCCAAAATGGAAGAACCCCTCAACTCCAAAAAAAAATTCTATAAGACTCTGTAATGTGGTGATGAAGGCGGTGACAAAGGCGATAGAAAACAGGTTAAAACACATCCTCCCTGAAGTGATTGATGAGGAGAAAAGTGCATTTATAAAAGGAAGACTTATCACTAATAATGCCCTAATTTACATGGAAGGATTTCATTGGATGAAAAAGAAGACCAAAGGGGAAAAGGCGTAATGGCTCTGAAGCTCGACATGCCGAAGGCATATGATAGACTTAAATGGGAGTTTCTTGTAAAGGTCCTGACTTCCATGGGATTCCTTGAGTTCTTGTTGAATATCATTAGGCATTGCATCTCCTCTGTCTCCTACCAAGTTCTCATAAATGGTCAACCAAGTAAAAGCATTGTTCTTGAGTGAGGCCTTTGCCAAGGAAGTCCCCTTTCACCTTACTTATTCATTCTTTATGCTGATGTTTTTTCAGGTATATTGAGGCAGAAGTTTCAAGACAAGAAAATTCATGGGATTCAAGTTGCAAGGAAAGCCCCCATGATTTCCCATATCTTCTTTGTTGACAATAGTTTGTTGTTTACTAGAGCTAATACCAATGAAGATGATTGTGTCATGGAAGTTCTCATAAAGTATTAGGATTCCTCCTACCAAATGTTAAACTTGGATAAATTAGAAGTGTCATTCAGTCGAAATGTGCGTGAAGAAGGTAAAGATCTGATCCGACATAGGATGGGAGTTAAGACAGTGACGAGCCATGAAAAATATATAGGTTTACCAGTTGCGTTTGGAAGATCCAAGAAGGAAATATTTTCCTTAGTCATGGAAATTGGAAGAAAATCAAAGGGTGGAAAGAGAAGTTTCTATCTAGATATGGGAAGAAGTTATGATCAAAGTCATTGCCCAAGCGATTCCAACATACATAATGAGTTGCTACAAACTCCCAGAGACTTGTTGCCATGACATTGAATCAATGTTAGCAAAATTCTGGTGGGTTCAAAGAATGGTGAGCAGAAAGTGCATTGGCTGAGTTGGGACAATTTGATTTGTGCAAAAAGTTTGGGAGGTATGAGATTTCATAGAACTAGTGAATTCAATTAGGCATGGCAAAAAAAACCCAGACCCGTCGGGACCCGCCCAGACCCGCCTTGAAATTAATGGAGAAAACCTGGTTTGAGTGGTACGGGTGCGGGTGCGGGGAAAATCCGATTTTTAATTACGGGTGCGGGGAGACACTAAGACCCGCCCGCACTCGGCCCCGCCCCGCCCCCGAATAAATTATTTTAATTTAATTCTCTTATTTTACTTATTCTAATATTTATTTATTAATTATATTTTTAATTAAATTATTAATACATTTATTACAATTAAAATACTTAAATTAATCAAGTTAATATTCATTTACTAATTAAAATTTTAATATATAAATAATTAATTTATTAAAATAATCAATTTTTTAATTAAATTATTAATTTTTATTGTAATTAAAGAGATTTTTTTTTTCGGGTGGGGGCGGGGCGGGTGCGGGTGCACCCGTTCTCTACTGGGGGGGGGGGGGGGGGGGGTCTGGGTGATAAATTTTTACCCCCGGTCGGGTTTGGGGGCGGGGGCGGGCGTGTTACATGAAAGCGGGTGCGGGTGCGGGTATAGTAAAACCCGCCCCCGACCCGCCCCGTTGCCATCCCTAAATTCAATGTCAGCTTTCTTGGGAAGCATTATTGGAGACTCATGACAGGAGAACAATCTCTACTGGGGAGAGTTTGCAGAGGAAGATACTACCCAAAAGGATCTATCGAGAACAGTTCAACAAGTTTTTCTCCAAGCTATGTGTGGAGAAGTACTCTCAATGTTAAAGATTTGATTGCTCAAGGTATGAGATGGAGAATTGATAATGGTGAAAAGGTTAGAGTTTGGAAAGATAACTGGCTCTCAGAGAATGCAGGTTTAATGGTCATTAGTCTGATGCATGGGTTAGACAGTGATGCAAAAGTCCAAGAATTGATAGACAGTGACCTATGCATATGGAAAAATAATTTGGTCCAAGCTTGCTTCAACCAGGAAGAAGCAAAACAAATTCTCAGTATCCCCATTTCACTAAGGCTTCCAAATGACGAGCTGGTATGGAATGGTAAAAAATATGGTGAGTATTCTGTTAGGTCAGTGTATCATATATGCATAAAAGAAAAGGTATCCAAGAATCTTGGACCCTTAACACCCCTTATCAGATTCTTTAGAAGAAAATTTGGAACTCCTCGATACAAACAAGAATTAGAAGCTTCCTATGGAGACTAGCCAAGAATATTCTCCCACCAGCGTGAATTTGTCCAAGCACGATATTAGGGTAGGTACTCTTTGTCCTCTTTATAATTGTGACTTGGGGTCTGTCCAACATTTGTTCCTCCATTGTGTGTTTGCAAAATAAACATTCTTCTCCTCCATTCTAGGCTATAGAATTCTTGATGATACTGATATAAATGACTGGTTATTAAACTGTCTTTCTGATTCAGAATATTTTAACTCCCAATTGGTGTGTACCTTGTTGTGGAAGATATGAAATGCCCAAAATGAAGTGGTGTACCAACATAACTAGGCTAACCTCGTGCCTATGGCAGGAGAGGCGCTTGATGTTGTGCTGGAATTTAACAAATGGAATCCATATCTCTGTGCTAAAAAGAGAATAATACAACTTAAGGACATGGATCCAGTTCCCAAGGATGTTTTATTGTGCAGGTGGATGCTGGAGTTTTTCAGAAGAGTTTTGTTTCCTTTGGGTGTGTTATAAGGAATAACATCAAGGAGGTGATTGTTGAAGTTGTCATAAGGGGTTTATTTTTGCGGAGCCTTTTGTTGCAGAAATATTAGCAATTAGATGGAAACTTCTCCTTACGCGGGACCTAAAGCTTGGAAAAATTCTATCCAGATGAATGCTGTAACACCCCAAATTTATTGGAATATTTATTTAATTTATTTAAATATGAATATTTGTATTTTTGGTGATTTTCGGTGGTTGTTGTGAAATGTTGAGAATTATGAATTTTTGGTTATTTATTTAAATAATAGTATATAATATGAATATATTAGTATTATTATTAATTTAAATAAATATAAGTTAACTAAAGGCAAATTGGACAATTAAGGAGGAGTTAGTGAGAGTAATATTGGAAAAGCCCAATTTATAGGCCCAAAGTTAGGTTTAACAAAAAGAAAATTTTGAGGGAATTAGGATTCATTCTTGTTAGACAGTGAAAAGAGAAGAAATAGAGGCCAGAGCTCTGAGGAAGGGGATTGAGGCAAAAGATTCGCAAGGTTTTCAAGAATCAAAGGAGAAGGCTTAAAGTCAACAACTAAGGTATGATGAGTATTATCTTCATTGTTTTCAATATGTGATTTCAATGTATTTAAAGCCGATTTAAGGGTTTAAAGGGTTTGAGACTGATTTTGAGATAAAGGAAATTAGGCCTTCGTGACCAAAATCTATTATTGAGGTTTTTACCATAGCGATTTGATCTGATGATCTGATAGGATTGAGGTCGATTTGGGTTTGAGAGAAAGTAGGCCTTCGTGGCCAAAATCTGTCGTTAAGGTTTCAACTCTGTAGGGTAATTAGATTGTGAGAAACTCTAGTGGCCGTGGTGTAGTTGTAAGGAAATTATGGGAATTAGAGCGTGAATATAATACGGCATTGGCCTAATAAGTCGTAGATTTTGTGCCTTTATCGCCGTAATACCTTAGGAATGATTTAAGGATGTTTTAGGGGAATTAGGGAAGGAAATCGTTGGACTTTTTGGTTGATTTTAGGTTCTGGTGCGTAACAATGTTTTGTTGTAATCGCGTGTTCGCACAACGAATAAACTCGCCCCAGACTCGCACAACAACTGGCTAGCGAACGTAACAGAGTTTCGCGAATTCTATTTTTTGTGCAGTGATGCCTTGATGTTTTGATGCTGTGATTTCTTTGACGAGTTAATATGAGTATGACTGTGAATTCTATGTGATTTGTACATGATATTATGATGATTCCTATGATGTAATGATTGATGAATTATGATGATATTTCTATGAGTTTTGGTGATTCTATGATGACATGATGTATGATGATGATTTTGATGGATGATGATGCACCTATGATGTTATTATGAGGATGGTTATTGACGTGCGCATCATGCATTCATGTGCATCCGGACTTCGGTTCAGAACCTTGATTTCTTTGGCTTCAGTCCTATTGTGCGGACGTGAAATATTTTGATGTTCTCCGGCTCTCGAGTAGAATTGATCCTATTGATGGGGATCTATGGAGAGTTGATGGCCCAGTGTCCATCGAGCTGTGATGATTAGTACCACATGCACGAGTCTTGTTGCATTTGCATTTATGAGATAATTTGGTGTAAATTATGATATTATGACCTTTGATGTTCCCTGATTATTATGATGATGTTGAATATGAAAATGACGTCATTTTATATATTGAATTCCTATATTGATTATTATGAATCGTTTTACTCACCCTACCTGTTTGAATGTTGCCTCTACGTGGGTAACGTGCAGATGATCAGGTTTAGCCGTGGATGCCGTCGAGGATCTTATTGGAGTTTTGAGTTGTTGGCCGTTTTGGTTAACTTAGAGGGTCTTGCTCTGATAGTGTAACATCGAGTTGGGGTCTTTGAGTTAAACCATGTTTTATTTGATTTTTGTTACTTTGATTATGTTTTCGTACAAGAAAAATTTTGAATTTTGTCTTTTTGAGTTTCGCTGCCTTTTGAGTAATTTTTGATATCTTTTGGAAAAATTCGTTGTTTACGGAATCTTTACCTATATTTGATTTATTGAAAAATGTACGTTCTTTAAAGTGATTTTTATTAAGTTTAATATTTTACTCCGATAAATATGAATATTTTGCCTTTAAAACTGTGGAATAGAAAAGAATGTTACAAATGCAGTCAACATTATGGAGTGCATTAATTTTATCAAGTTTGTTGCTGCTATCGAGCATATTGCTGATGATTGTAAACTTTTATTTGATAGTTTTAAAGTTGCTTCAATCATTTATCTGCCTAAACAATTAAATGATGATACTCATAACATAGTTGGCTTAAGAGAAAACTGTATGATTCAAAATCTTCACTAGAAGGTTTTCCTAATGAGGACCCCTATTCTTCTGTCCCGTTTTTTCCTTCTTAATGGAAAGTTGTTTCTAACTAAAAAAAATGAAAAGGTAGTGATATTATAAAGGTAGAAATACTGCAAAGGATTTTGTAAACAACCGATGTTTTCGTTAGTTTTATACAAATTTATTACAATAGATGATCAAATGTAAAAGAAATAAATAAAAGAAAACTCAAAATATATTTATTTGGAAAAAGGTGAGCGAGCATATAGCTCTTTTTTCCTTTAAGAATAGAGCATATCAAAGAGAGTAGTATAACGTAAATAGATACAAAGAAAAATAATAATAATCTAATCATTAAAAAATGGTCAAAAAACAACTTAGTTTTCTAGACGTAATAATTTACATTTACAATAAAATATCCTAACATCATTTCATCTATATAATCAATCTCAATCTCAATCTCATAAGTATAGTAAAATTCATATTTTGAAATCACACGATATTGTAGTGGTAATGTTTTAAAGACCAATGATTGAATTTTGATTCTTGTGAAGTTGTGATCCAACTCTACACCGCAACCCAAGAAACATGAAAGAAAGAATTTTTCAATTTGGCTTTTTAAGATTTGGTGTTGGCCATTATACTTTCCCTTTTCCTTTTCTTATTTTTGCTCTATTTTTTTCCTTTTAATTCTTCATCTTGGATATTGATTACACCATTAAAGCAAATATTCTCTTTCGAATAATCTTTCCGACTTTTCTCCAAGAGTGAACCATTTACATTGCTTTTATATGTTATATCACTATTCTTTTCATATTGAAATCTAAACAACTCTATCAGGTGGTAATAACTATTAAAAATATATAAATATTAAAGTTCGAACTTTAATGATGACGCCTGAATTAATAATATCAGTTTTTTGTCGGTTAAACTAAAATTTGTTGAATGCATTAAATTTTCGATTAAAGAGAATCGACTTTTTACTTTAACCTAAAAATGATTAGGTTGGTGCTTAGTTATGACTAAATGTGGGGGTTGAAAACTCCTTAATTTGTTAGGATACCTTAAGAAAACTATGACATGTTAGATGTCTTGAACAGACACATAACTTATTGATGATGTTTTTGATATGAGGTACAACTTTATATCTCTTGAAATGTTTGATTAGTTTTTCTTTTCCTTCTAGCATACTTTTCTTTAAAGAAAACATGGAAGCTCTAGGTCCAAAAATCTAATCATAGATTCTTTGATTCCTCCATCCCTACAAAGAACAAAAAGAATCTGCCAATTGCAATATCACACACATCATAAAAAAGATAACCCAAAATTAAAGTTGTTAAAAAGGGAAAGGAAATTAAAAACAAAAAAGTTTATTAACTTAGCTTAAACTTTCAATCACCACAAAACAAGCAACATATCCAATAATATAGCATTCCCATCATTTTTTTTTTCTTTTAATATATATAAATTTTTACCTTAAAGTTTCTCACACCATTAAGAAAGTTGCATCCATTATTCATTATGGTGGGCCTACCCAATTCAATAAGGAATCAAACCTTAGCAAAAGATGGAAGTGGGAAAACATCAAGATAAAAACAAATAAAACACTTTTTCTTTATATTAATTTTTTTCTCTCCTTTTAAGAACTCAAAATTTAGCTATTTTCCTTTTTTTTTTTCAATTTACCAAAGATTCTCTCCACCTAATCAAGATCACTTGAATGAAATTGATAATAAAAACTTTTCTAATTCAATCAAAAATTTTAAGTTTGAAATCCAACTTAAAAAAAATAGAAATGTCATCGTACATTGTCATCATTTGACGTATAAAATTAATCTCCACAATTAAACGCAGAAGATCTATACTGCACATGTAAATGCAATTAAAAAAATCTACATTGCGCATGTAAATGTAGATGATATCCAAATCATACCAACAAAAGATTCTCTTTTGAAGTCAAAGAAGAAAGAATAATGTGGAAAATAAAAAAAGAAAAAGTGGATATAAAAAATATTATTTTTCTACACAAGATTACAGCTCATGGCATATATTCCTCCAACATAACCCCACTAATGCTTCCTTATATGGAGTGAGATCAATCCAACAACATGTTCAATTTATAAATAAAAACTATATAGTTGCCACATTTTGTCACAAAAGCATCAAAAGTATATTTATGTTTCAGTCTCTATTACAAGTAACTCTTCTAAAAAGAGCAAATGGATCAACAAAATCAAACCATGCGTTTGGTTCTTTCCACTGATGCTAAGCCTAGGTTGAAATGGACTCATGAACTTCACCAAAGATTCACTGATGCTATTAACCAACTTGGAGGTGCAGAAAGTAAGTTTTACAGACACAAAAACCTTACTGTTTTTATATCAATCTTAATGTGTTTTTCACACTATGTTTATTTATGTGGCAGAGGCGACACCGAAGAGTTTGATGAGGGCGATGGCGATTCCGGGACTCACTTTGTATCATCTCAAGAGTCATTTACAGGTTTTTTTTTTCTTCCACTTTTCAAATTATTGTATCAGAATTTTTTTCATGAGTTTGATTGAGGTTATTTGTTTTTTTTCTGGTGATTATAGAAATATAGACTTGGAAAAAACCAATTCGTCGAAACCTATTCCGATGATAAACAAGGTGAGTTCTTGCATATAGAAATAGAATGATTCATTGGTAGTTTTTTTTTTCTTTTTAATGATTTTGCTTAATGTTTGGATTCTTGATTCATGGATGCAGATTACATAGAGATTCAAAGTAGTGACAGTCAATGCAGCAGAGAAATCAGCGTCGCGAACCAGCATCAATCGACGGAGTAATAGTTAATTTGAAATCGAGCAGATATTTATAAAGTATTGTATTATCTAGAATTTTCGTTGATCGAATGTTTCGTGTTTACTAGAAGTTCGAAGATTGCTGAGGCGCTTGAGATGCAAATGGAAGTACAAAAGAAACTCTATGAACAAATTGAGGTAGCACTTCTATCTAAATTTCAATTGATGCATATAAGGACATGTTAATCGATTCGGATCATGATTTCATCAGGTACAGAAACATTTACAGTTTAGAATTGAAGCGCAAGGAAAGTACTTACAATCGGTACTAATGAAGGCGCAAGAAGCACTTGCAGGATACGGTTCTACGTCTGCGGTTGGTGTAGAACATGCTAAAGCTGAACTTTCTCAGTTATTATCAACAATCAACAATGCATGTCCTAGTTCTCCGATTTCAGAACTAACAGAAACGCGAGGTTTGAGTTTAAACTTCGGCGAGAGGAAACAAAATCGAGGAACTATGTGTTCTTTATCGAGTTCTCTAACATCATCTGAAAGCTCCGAGAGAAAAGACGAAAAACAAACCATAAACGAGGCAGAGAACACTCCGAATTACAATAGTGTTTCCATTGAATTGCCGTTATTGGCCATTGGTACTAACGATGGAGCTCACGCGAGAAAAAGAAGCGCGGTTACTGATTTGGATTGTGGCTCTGTTGATCAACCAGATGGAAAATTTTATGGCAAAAAATTGAAGGAATCTGAGATGTCACAAATGCTTGACTTGAACAGCAAGTATGAAAGAGAGATTGAGTCAAGTTCATTAGAAATAGATTTAAATTGCAGTTCAAGCTTTTAGGTAGAATGAAGATGTTTTCTAGTAATAATGATATTTACATGTGTAACAAAGTCATTATTCTCAGGAGAAAATCTGTGTATAAACTATGTATATTATATAATGAAAAGAAAGAAAAAGTATAATACTTATATCACATATTTTTCTTCAATAACTTTTTTTTCCTTTTCACAACCTTGTTGGAGATATTGGATTATAATGTAAGCAAATGATAATGTGAAAACTTTATTAGGGAGATATTGGCCTAATTTGTTATGCTTTAGAGGCTTCTTGAAACCCTACTATAGTATTGGTTGGTGACATTGAACCTAACATGATTGTGATGTGAACCAATTTTTACCAACATATAAGCTCTTTTTCTAACTGAATTTATCATTTTTCAATCAAGTAATCCCTGATTTCAAACTTTTCAAAGCTCTCCATAGCATTATGTCTATCATGTCCAATATAGTCAAACACGAGACCTTAAATAGGATCACGACTATTGAAAGATCGTAAAACAAGAATTATGGCACGACATGTAAGCATATCTTCAGGATTCTGTTGTGCACACAAGAGACTAACATGCATACAATTCAACATTTTTGTTACAACGTACGTCTAGCTTTGCCTTCTTTCTACACTGCCTATGACTGAATCATATAAGAACTTGATATTATTTTTCATGTTTGAAATTGTTAATTGACATATATACATGACTTGCCAAGTAGTTACTTGGCCAACAAGGTTAAGGGTCTCATTCGAGTGATAATATGTTTTATTTCTTTTGCCAGAGATAAAGTTTACTTTCTCATTCATTGGCGACAAACTTATATGCAAAAGAGATGTCTCGAGTCGAGCCACAAGCTAAAACAAAAAAAATAATGGCAAAGACTTGGGTTCTGAGAGTGTGTTTCTCTCAAAGTCTTAAGTTTGAATATTGCTAAATACAAACAATTTCTGTATTAGGCAAAGTATAAACCAATTCGAGAGGGAAGTGCTTTAACGACTAAGTTTGTTTGATCAATTACAAAGGCAAAATACAGTCGTTAATCGACTAAACCTTGCTTCTAATTGGTTAAAATCAAATGAAACGCCTCCTAATCGATTAAGAAGATTTTTAATCGATTAAGTGAAGTTGCACTTCAAAGTTTACTTCTTTTGTCTCAAGTTAATCGATTAAGACATGAATTTAATCGATTAAATAGTTAAAAAGCTCTTGGATTATTGTCTTCGAATCATATTTTTTCTTATATAAACGAGTCTTCTTTCTATTTTAAAACACATCAATTTTCTAACTCTTATCTTATTTTTTTTATCTCTCATTCATGAAAGTTTCCAACTTCTTCTTCTTTTGACTTAACTCAAAACCTAAATGATGAAATCTGTTTTAAATTGAAACTTTTTGTTTGTTTGAAACATTTACAAATCTTTATATTTTAATTGAAATTTCGATTACCCAAAATTGTTGAAGAAGAAATTAGTTCTATGATAATAATAATGTTAACATGTGGTTAACGATTTTATTGTGTCATTGTTTTTTTAATTTTGTGCTTGATAAGTAGTTTTGGATATATATTGAATAAAAAAATTGAATGTGATTGTGGTCTATGAATAACCAACTAGATTGAGACACATTTTGTTTACTTGAAACATGAAAAAAATGCTTAAAAAATGCATTCCCGGAAACATTTGGCTTTTGTTGTGTGAAACATTCTCCAATTAATAATTCATCACATTCCATGTTCGTCAACATTGTTGAGAAAAGTAACCAACTCAATGTAAGGACTCTGTCTTTCAAAACCCAAATGAAATCAAGACAATAAATACAAAAAATTGAAACTAATCTTAAGTGCCGAGACACCAGAGCTGGTGGTGCGATTCTCGCCACACCGGCGCACCACCACTATCGAAACTTGGCCGTGGCATGCAGCGTGATTCCGAATCTGGCAGCAACAACCAGATAATCTACTATCCGCGTTATTATACACTCAATATTAAGAGTTGCTTTCATCGACCATTAAGCGATGTAATGGTTAATTCCTCATTTGAACTGATTTCATTTTGAATTCCTTCATCAGAAGAAGCTTTCCTTGGAAAAAAACCTGGCTCTTTAGGCTCAATCAATTCCATTTCACTACCTAGCATTTGAACTATAGATGTCATTGTAGGCCTATCCTCCGGGTACTGTTGCACACACAACAAACTCACATGAATGCATCTCATTACCTCTGAAACAACACACAATTCCTTTATTCTTAACTCAACCAACTCCAATGCCTTTCCCTCCTTCCAAAGTGTCCATGCCTGCATAATTGGATAAACCGTTTAATTTGCAAGTTATAGCATAATCACTTATATATAAGTTACTTCTATAAGATACTCTTGGTCACATTTCAAATTCAGTATTGATAAATAGATAAACAAATATGTAAGTGCTTACATAACCAACAAGGTTAAGTGTCTTGTTTTCATGATAAAGTGCTCTGTTTTTGTTCCCACATATAATCTCCAAAAGTAAAACTCCAAAGCTGAAGACGTCTGATTTGATTGAAAATTGTCCATCAGCGGCATACTCTGGTGCCATGTATCCGCTGGTACAAACAGTTAGAATAACAATATTATGTATAAGATAAAAGTAAGTAATATCAAGCTTGAGACTCCTGCATTTGTTGTGGTCGATCAATCTAGATTCAACGTTCTAGATTGTTTGACTTTGGCAAATGCAGAAGTTGCTAAGTGTAGAAAGTGGAAATCCAAACCAGATAGACACTCACTAAGTTCCAACTACTCGATTTGTATTTCCTTCAATTTGATCTCCTCCAAAAGATCTGGCCATTCCAAAATCTGATATTTTTGGATTCAACTTTTCATCCAACAATACATTACTCGCTTTGAGATCTCTGTGAATAATCCTTAATCGAGAATCTTGATGAAGATACACAAGTCCCCTAGCAACTCCAAATATTATTTGGAACCGCTCGGGCCATTCCAACAGTTTACCATTTATTTTATCTGATTTTTGCAAAACAAACATGACAATGTCAATTTGATAAACAAACAAATATTAGAGATGTAGATAAATAAACATGTTGCGTCTAATGTAACCAATTTTCATATTTCGTACCAAAGATAAAGGAGTCAAGGCTGTCAAGAATTCTTGGCTTAATACTTTTCTCATTATTATTTCTCGTATATATAGAGGTTACAGGGCTATATTGGTAATTACACTAAATAATTACATTTTAATGAGAACAAGTCAATTTCTAATTTGTTTCCTTTATTCTAGAAACAAACCCTTATTCGAGGAACAAACCCTTATTCACATCCCCCCTCAAATTGATGCTGCTTGTCAATAAGCATCAATTTGCTAACAAGAAACTGATGACGTGGACGCGGAACAGCCTTGGTAAGAATATCTGCAATCTGCAACTGAGTACTGACATGAGGAAGTGATATGATTCGGTCATCATAAGCATCACGAATTGAGTGACAGTCAACTTCAATATGTTTGGTGCGTTCATGAAAAACAGGATTCGCAACAATTTGGATGGCACTTGTATTGTCAGCATAAAGCGAAGTTGGCTCTATTTGAGGAAATCCAAGTTCAGCCAAAAGACCACGAAGCCAAATTATTTCAGAACAAGCAGCAGACATGGCACGATACTCAGATTCAGTAGAAGATTTAGAGACTCTCGCTTGTTTCTTACTTTTCCATGAGATCAATGAAGAGCCAAGAAACATGCACCAACCAGTGACAGATCGTCGAGTATCAGGACACCCTGCCCAATCTGCATCACTATAAGCACTCAATTTAGGAGCAACTCCACTAGGAAAGAATAAACCACGATGAGAGCTTCCCTTCAAGTAACGAATTATACGACGAACTGCTGCCAAGTGAAGGTGGCGAGGAGAGTGCATGAATTGACTTACTTGTTGAACAGCAAACGATATGTCAGGGCGAGTAATAGTCAAGTAATTAAGGCTACCCACGAGTTGACGATACAATAAGGGATCAGGCAACAAATCACCATCATCACGATGATATTTAACATTAACCTCAAGCGGAGTATCCACTGGATTAGCCGATTGGAGACCAGCCATGGAAATTAAATCTGTGGCATACTTGTGTTGATGGAGGAATATGCCCTTGGATGTAGAATGAACCTCAAGACCAAGAAAATAATGCAAATTACCAAGATCTTTCATATGAAACGCTGCTTGTAACTGCTGTTTAAGGCTTTGAATGGAAGCATGGTCAGAACCAGTAATAATCATATCATCAACATACAGAAGAAGTAGGACAATTCCAGTAGACGTTCTATGAATAAATAGAGAAGAATCATACTGACTCTGAGTAAAGGAGAACCCAAGTAGAGTGGAGCGGAATTTTTCATACCATGCTCTAGGTGCTTGTTTCAAACCGTATAAGGAGCGTTTAAGCTTGCACACACCCTTAGATGATGAAAATAAACCTTGAGGAGGAGTCATATAAATGTCTTCCGCGAGGTCACCATGAAGAAAAGCATTTTTCACATCTAATTGATAAAGAGCCCACCCGTTAGAAGCAGCTATAGAGAGTACCGTACGAACGGATGTCATTTTAGCAACCGGTGCAAATGTCTCATCATAATCAATTCCATATTCCTGCTTGTTTCCTAAGGCAACCAAGCGAGCCTTGAAACGGTTGAGGGACCCATCCGAATTCAATTTCACAGAATACACCCATTTGCAGCCAATGGGTTTGACATCTGGAGGACAAGAGACAATATCCCATGTGAAATTCTCTTGAAGAGCTTGAAGTTCCTCATTCATTGCTTTTATCCAACGTACATCTTTAACAGCCTGTGAATAACAAGTAGGAATAGATATGCCAGAGAGGGTGGCAGTCAGAGAAGTATGTGCTGAATCATACCTGTCTGGTGAATATCTGTCTGGTGCTCGAGATATTCGAACAGAACGTCGTGGTTCAACCGTTACAGGATCAGGTGGCGGTTCAGCGTCGGGAAAGGGTGTGGGAACCTGCTGTTTGTGTTTTCTGACATATACATGACCTGGTTTATAACGCTCTATAGATTGAGGCATAATAGAGAACTTAGGAAGAGTAACAATATCATTCATGACAGGAGAAACGCATGGAAACATAAACTGATTATCAAAAAATGTCACATTCCTAGAAATGCGAAAACGATGGTTAGTGACATCATAACACACAAATCCCTTATGTGAGTGACTATACCCCATGAACGCACATTGAACAGACTGTGCTCCAAGCTTATGTCTTTCAAATGGAGGTAAGTGCACAAAACAAACACATCCAAAAATATGTAAATCATTATAACTAGGCTGAATTTTAAAAAGGCGAAAGAAGGGAGAATCAAAATCAATAACCGTAGAAGGAAGACGATTGATCAAGAATACGGCTGTGGAAAGAGCCTCAACCCAAAATCGGGATGGCACAGAAGCTTGAAGAAGTAATGTGCGTGTTACATCAAGCAAATGACGATTCTTTCGCTCTGCCATCCCGTTTTGTTGAGGGGTATTGGGACAAGACCGTTGAGACAAGATCCCTTTTTGTTGAAGGTATTCCTGAAATGCATGAGACATATACTCACCTCCCGAGTCAGATCGAAAAATTTTAACACTTGCTTGAAATTGATTTTCAACATATGTCAAAAACTTCTGAAACATAGAAAACACTTCAGACTTAGATCTAAGAAAATATATCCAAGTAAAGCGGCTGTAATCATCAATAAATGTGACAAAATATTTATAGTGAGCATGAGATGTTGCAGGAGACATTCCCCACACATCACTATGAATCATCTCAAAACAATTAGAAGCACGATGAGCGCCTGACGGAAAAGGGAGGATTTTACTTTTAGCCAATTTGCAAACAGAACATGAAATAGGAGTAGTACACGCATGTTTATTTCCCAACAAACCAGTTTTAAATAAATGAGACAAAACAACAGAATTTGGATGGCCTAATTTTCTATGCCAATCCTCATAAGAGTTCAAAACAGTATTACATGCAAAGGATAAATGACTAGAACTAAACTGGAGTGGAAACAATCTTCCCACTTTAGGCCCCTTCGCGATCACCTTTCCCGACACCTGCTCCTGCACAAGACAACCAACACGAGAAAAACTAACATTACAATTGTTATCCACCAATTGACCAACCGACAATAAGTTGGAAGCAAGTCCGGGTGATACAAGCACGTCACGAAAGTTTGAGTCTATGTCACCAACATCAGTGATAGAAAGTTTATTACCATCAGCAATTTGAATTTGCTGATTACCATTATAGGAATGTACATTTTGTAAGTATTTAGAGGAACCCGTCATGTGATTGGATGCACCAGAATCAAGAAACCATGATTGAGAATTATTAGAAGACTTACCCTGAATTCCCAAGGCTGAAAGAGCAGAAAGTACCATTTGGTGAATCATTTCAGGTTGTAGAACACTACCGGTACCCGTACTGAGAGGACCAACTTCAGAGTTGGTAGTGGCATGGAATGCTTGAGTTGGACGTTGTACTGGTCGGGGAGGACGTGTGGGACAGTCAGAGATGATATGACCCTGTTGTTTGCAATAGTTGCAAAACTTCTTACTGCAATTGCGAGCTACATGTCCAAATTGTTTGCAAGAAAAACATTGAACTTGTCGCATATCACGACCCTTTCCTCTACTTTGAGCAGCATATGCAATTGCCACAGGTTCGGAACTAACAGCATCATGAGACATGGTTCCTTGCGTAAGTAGACGTTGTTCCTCCCTTAGAAGTTCACCGACACAAGTATCCAAAGAAGGAACAGGATTCCTATTGAGCAAAGCGCCTCTAACAATCTCGAATTCTGGACGAAGTTTCATGAGAAATTGATCTCGCCGACTTGTGTCGTAGACCTCTTGAACAGCAGTGAGAGAGGTTTTGGGAACATTAGCATGTATAATAGCAGAGTGTTCTGTCCAGAGATTCAGAAAACCAGAATAGTATTCTTGAATAGGTAGGTCACCTTGTTTGTAGTTGGCTATGTCTAGCTCCAATTGAAAACGTTTTGCCGAATTGTCCTGGTTGTAAATGCGCTTCAGATAATTCCATATTTCTTGAGCAGTTGAAAAGGAGCGCAAATTATTTATCATCTGAGGATCAATACTATTGAGAATCCAAGTGATGATTTGAGCATCTTGAGTTTCCCATACATCTGAAGCAGTTTTATCCGTCGGGGCCTTAGAAACACCATCTAAGTGACTCCATAATCCCTTTCCTCTAACATACATCTTGAATTGAAATTCCCAAGCCGAATAATTCTTGCCGGTGAAACGAACACAGAAGTTATCTCTTTCTTTTTCGGAAGCCATTGAAATTATGTTGTAATTAGATGATGTATTACTATAATAATAATAATTATTATAATACTTATTATTATTATAATAACAACCTGCAACCAAAAGGAACAAAGCTCGTGCAGTACCACCAATATATCCCAAGAACAGTACCACTCGTGAAGCCGTAACAATTCCAATGTTTCAATTTGGAATTAGCGGCGGAACCAAATTATAACCACAAACCAAATTAAAACAAAATTATAACCACGAAAAACAAACCGGTCACGACCTAGAATCAATATTCGTGAAAGGAGGATCGCAAACAACCGAAGTAAGCCGAAGCCCTAAACCCAGAATCACGATGGCAATCGACGCTAAACGAATTCCACGGGGAACGATCAAGAAGCAGAAACGAAGAAACAACAAACTGAATTGATCAGGGTGTTGTCACAGAACCAAGAGAGAAAAAAATCAGAACCAGGAAATCACAGGTTTGATCTACGAGGTTGATACCATGTCAAGAATTCTTGGCTTAATACTTTTCTCATTATTATTTCTCGTATATATAGAGGTTACAGGGCTATATTGGTAATTACACTAAATAATTACATTTTAATGAGAACAAGTCAATTTCTAATTTGTTTCCTTTATTCTAGAAACAAACCCTTATTCGAGGAACAAACCCTTATTCACAAAGGCTACCATTAGCCATGTATTCATATACTAGTAGTTTTTCTTGTCCTCCAACACAACAGCCAAGAAGCTTGACCAGATTTCGGTGTTGAAGTTTTGCAATCAGTTTAACTTCTGTTAGAAACTCGGTAATTCCTTGTCCAGAGTTTGTTGAAAGTCTCTTAACTGCAATTTCTTGTCCATCTTCTAATTTTCCCTGCATAATCGCTTTCATTTTATAATATAGAAACTTCTCTAGTTGTTTTCTCTCGGGTTAGTACTCAATACTTGAATTAATATTCAGTTACCTTGTATACAGATCCAAAACCACCTTGTCCAATCTTATTATTCAAGGAGAAGTTGCTAGTGGCGATAACAATTGTTTGCAGATTAAATAACGGTAAATCTATATCCTCTAGATGCTTTTCAATGTTATCTTTTGTCCTTGACTTATCTAAAAAATGAAACAGATGAAATTATATATTCAGTTATATTAAGAAACTTGAGAGGACGGGATTATTTGAGTTAGATATATATGGTATATTAAATATATGAGGCTACTTCATTTTCTTTCATTTGTAGCTTGAAGCTGTAGGTCATTAAACCATACAAATTCAATGCCATGTTTGTTTACTTTTATAATATTTAACAGCAACGTTCATTGAATGATAAGAGACAGTTTTGCCACCCTTACTAGGTTATGAACCTCAATGTTTTGAGTTCTACCAATATGTGAGAAAGTTACATCTTCCAATCTATGAAAAAGTTTACAACCCTGAACTATATAATCAATGGCAGCAATTCCACATTAAAAACCACTTGGCCTCATTTATTGATAAGCACTTATTACCCCAAAGACAGTCTCTTGAGAATTATAAGTATTTCTGATTTCTGATTTTTCTATTTAAAACTATGTATAGAAAAGTGCTTCCATGACGATAATAACACGAATGAAAAAATTAATTTACCAGCAATTCTCCTTCGGACTTTATATATGACATATACGCAAAATAAAAGCATCCCAGAAATTGCAGCAGCAGTGGTAGTAGCTATGGTTATCATGCTTTTGTTGCGCCTGTTTGAAGCCTCTTCATGTATGAAACAACAAATAAACTTAAAAGTCACATCCTTGGAGTTAAAAGTGAGAATACATAAGTTTTCCACAGCAAAGGGAATTAAAGGAGTGAAAAAGTTGTTACTTACTTATTACTTCCTGAGCTATACGAATATAGAGATCTTGGCCACCAGTGTCAAACTGTCTTATATCGATTAGATCACCAAACCATATAACACAGCCACTTCCATTTCCACTTATGTCTGAATTAGTGTAAGCTGTACAAGTGCAATTATTCAAGCACATGGTTCTGCATAGTTCTAAATCAATATTCTCATACAATAAAGTATGTGTAGTATCTGGTACTTTGACACCCATATATTTTACCAACATATCATCTACTTCCACTTGTGGGTTGTTGCAGCTTAATGATATATTACGGACACACCCTTGAGTCCAGTTGTTTATGGCCCATTGTTGCGGCGACTTTGGAATGAACCCATTTAAACATTTGCAAGGTGGTGCATATGTAATCGAGCAACTTGCATAGGGTCCGCAAGTCGCATACATTTCACACTGGTCCATCGGAGTATACTCAATGATCAACCAATTCGTATAATTCTTCTCCCACACAGAGATAGTAAACAAGGTTTGGTATATCGTAGCACTGACGTAGGCAGAAGAATTCTTGAGGGTAAAGGAGTAAAACATCTCATCCTTATTAGACACATAATTCAAATCATTATTAGCAACATACTTAAAACCATATACAGAATTTTGTTTTCTATTCGAAAAGCCACTAAATTGAAGTCCATTCCATGGTCCAATCCGACAGTATTTCTCTTTTCCGTTCATCAGATAAAACTCTGGATAATTATGAAGCACAAGACCCCAAGAAAGATCTCCTGGAGATGGATCATCAGGACTCTTCCAAGAAGTTATTCTCCTTTCAAAATCATTTCTGAGATCCCATCCCAACTTCATCCCTGGCAAAATTGTATCACACGGATAGTCAAAGCTTTGCCACAAGTAGGTTCCTCCTTCTGGATATGTTTCTACTTGGTTTCTTATCACAAGATTACCACTGTCCAAGAGCTCTGCTATTGGTTTCTGTGCTTGTTTATCTGATGTTGTACTCCAAACAAAAGTTTCGTTTTGGCGGAGTATGAGATTACCTGTGGTACTCAGTGTTAAGATGCCAAAAGTATTGTTGACAGCGGTTGCCCTGTTTGCAACCCAAACAACTTTTTGTATAGGCAACTGCTTGTACCAAATCCCAAGATAACGTCTTGTAGAATTGCCCGGCCTAAAAAAGCCCAGTTCAAATTGTCCACCTTTTGAAACTAAAGTTTCCCCGTCACTTAAAGACTCAGACACACTGATGGAACTAGTTGCTATAATGGGTACAATCATGTATGCAATCATGATAGTCATGAAAGAAAGAATGTCCATTGCATGACACTAGTATTTGGTTATTGATGATTGGATTTAACTAAAGTGTGTCTGAGTCTTAGGTTCAGAATGAGGAAGTTTATAAAAAACACGATTTGTTCCTCATTCCGAAGTCCAAGTCAAAAAAACATGTGGGTGATTTGTATTCACCAAAGGAAATATTATTGTTCCTGTGAGGAAACTTAATCTTTTACTTGGACTCATTCCTTTTTCCTCTGTGGAAATGCTAATATAATATTTTGGTCAATCATAGCAGTATTATTTTGAATTTAATACTTATGCCTTTCTATCTCAGGAATTATTAACAAATAAACCATCAATTTAGTCCATGAAGTATGATTTTCTCTCTAATTTAGTATCTAAAGTATATAGATTAGGCACTAAAATGATTATTTATTTATTTATTTATTTATTTTTAATATTTTGAGTTGCAGGTTTGACTGTCACTGGCTATATAGGATTATATAAGATGCCACGACCAAATGGTAGACTGCCCAAGAACTAAACATGGTAAACTCTTGCAGAACAAGAATCTCGTTTACATTTCTGTATTTATTATAAAGTTTTGCCAATTTTACTTTAAACATTCATGTACAAAAGCATTTGAACACTAGTCCTTTATTAATTACTTTGTTTACCATGGAATTATTTCTCCTTGACTGTAATATTATTTCACCGAACACTTAAAGTAGTTATGGTCATTTCATAGTTTGAACTTATATCTTTCCCACTTGAGCTTGAATTTGCTTCAATAGATTCCTTCCTTGTGATAAAACTTGGCTCCTTAGGATCATCCAATGCCATTTCACTCCCTAGCATTAGAATCACATCAGCCATGGTAGGTCTATCTTCCGGGTATTGTTGCACACATAAGAGTCCTACGTGGATGCAGCGCGATACTTCTGACACAATGGATGAATTCTCTATGTTTGAGTCAATTAGTTGCGAAGCTCTTCCGTCTTTCCAGAATGCCCATGCCTAAGTCATAAAAGAAAATTGTTATTTACCAAAAAATCAAGTTAGTAACAGATAAACTTTTAACGTAAACAATTTAACATTTGTCCCGTGCTTACATAAGCAACAAGGTTAAGGGTTTGCTTTGCACGTTTAAGCACTCGGTTTTTCTTCCCACATATAATCTCTAATATTAAAACACCAAAGCTGAAAACATCAGATTTCGAAGAAAATTGTCCATCAATAGCGTACTCTGGTGCCATGTACCCACTGCAATAAACCATTGAGAGAAAAATATAAAAATATATGTCATGTGTAAAATAAACTATTTGTATTGGATAGTTAAACACTTACTATGTCCCAACAATTCTATTTGTGTTTCCTTCAATTTGGTTTCCCCCGAAAGTTCTAGCCATTCCAAAATCCGATATTTTTGGATTCATAGTATCATCCAGTAAAACATTACTTGCTTTGAGATCTCTATGGACAATCCTCAGTCGAGAATCTCGATGAAGATACATAAGCCCTCTAGCAATTCCACAAATTATGTCAAAACGCTTTGGCCAATCTAGCAGTTGACTTTTGGTACGATCTGCATAATTCATAACAAATATGTCATGAAATATTGAATATTCAAAGTTTATTACAAACTTTCACTAATCACTATTTCATAAAACACTAGTGAGTTTATAAAACTTATTGAGACTACATACCAAAGATGAGGTAGTCTAGGCTACCATTAGCCATGTATTCATAAACTAGCAATTTTTCGTGTTTTTGAATGCAACAGCCGATAAGTTTTACAAGATTTCGATGTTGAACATTTGCAATAAGTTTTACTTCATTAACGAACTCTCTCATCCCTTGTTTTGAGCTCCGTGAAAGCCTCTTTACGGCAATTTCTAGCCCACTTCCTAATTTTCCCTGGATAATCATTTATCACATTCATATGGTTAGATGTTCTTTACAATTACTACTTTACTACCAATTCTTACTTAGTAGTTAGTAATAGTAATCATGATCCATTATTGAGTTACCATATAAACAGGTCCAAAACCACCTTCTCCGATTTTGTTCTTCTCTGAGAAGTTGTCGGTAGCAATAATAATTGTCGACAAAGGAAGCAAGGGGAGATCCTGATCGTCCATATGTCTTTCATAGTCAACTTCTGTCATTGACTTCCCTGGAAAATAGAAAAAATAATAATTCAGAACTATGTAGCCGATGCTACTTTTTATGTGAGATGTTAGAGAATGGAAGAATAGATTTACCAACAATGACCCTCCTGAATCTGTAGGAAAAGTAAATAGCAAGTAAAAACATTCCCAAAGCTGCAGAAACACTAATTACAACTTTTTTTCTCAAGTTCCTCCTGTGCCCATCCTCAGTATTATTGTTGACTTCATCGAAACAGAACAACTTAAATTAAACTTCATATTCATGATACAAGGCTTAAATTTTAGTGAAGTTAATGAAGTATTCACCTAGTTCTGAAGCAGGCATTCGGATATATAGAACTTGTCCACCTCTTGGAAAAAGTTTGATATCAATTAAATCACCAAACCACATGACACAGCCACTTCCTGCTCCACTTATATTTGTATTTGTATAAGCCATGCAGGAACAGCTTTTCAAGCATCTGTCTTTACATTGTTCTAGACCAATACTCTCGTCCACGCTAGTATTTGTAGTATCTGGAACTTTCAAGTCTTCCCTTGAGACAAATCCATCATTGTTGCAGTTCAATGGAGGATTTCTGACACACCCATCGGACCAGTCCATTGAGTTCCATTTTTCAGGAATTTTAGGCTTGAACCCTCGTAAACATTCACATACTGGTGAATTAGTAATGCTGCAATATCCATTGTTTCCACATAGACCATAACGGTCACAATAGTCACCTGGCATTTTTGAGTGAAGCATCCATGATTTGTCGGCTTTTGACCATGTATAGCGAGGACGTCCGTTAATGCTTTGGTTAAGTACCACTTTTGATATTAGAGATCTATCGCTGCTGTTCCATGAGTAATAAACCTCTTTGTTATTGTAGACAAAATTGTAACTGAAAACAGGATTAGGCTTCATCTCTGGCATACCACTGAAACGCAAGCCGTTCCACGGTCCAAGTCTGTGGAGCTTTTTTTTTTCCTTCATCATATAGATATCAGGATACTTATTCAATACCACCTCCCAAGAAAAGTCTCCTGGTGTTGGATCATCATCACTCTTCCATGCTATGAGACGCCTATTCAAATTTCTTTTACAGTCCCATCCCAACTTCATACCTGTTAGAATTTAGAAGTGGATGGAAAATTAAGTTGTTTATCAAAACAGAATCCTAGATAGAATTAGACACAGCACAATATCATGATTTAAGAACTAGACCATCAATCTTAACCATACCTGCCAACAATGTGTTAGATGGGTAGTCAAAGCTTTGCCACAGATAGGTTTCGTCGCCACTATCATCTTTTATGACAAGATTACCAGTATCTAAGAGTTGTGCCATTGATTTCTGCGCTTTTGTGGAAGAATTTGTGGACCAAACAACCTTGTTGTTGTGAGTAAGGACCAAACTGCCAGAACTGTTTAGCTTCAAAACTGCAGAAGAGTCATTGATTGGGTGGCCACCATTTGCAACCCAGACAACATTTTGAGGTGAAATGTTCTTGAATTGAATTCCGAGGTAACGTTTGTTTGGATTCTTAAGACTAAAGAAAGCAAGCTCAAATAATCTATTAGGTGAAACGATGGTATCTCCATCACGGATGATCAAATGAGATTGAGTAATGGATGTGAAATCACCTGCTATGGAACTGGAAACTGTAAGAGAAAGAATAAATAGAATATAAGTAACGAAACTCATTACAAAATCAATTAAAGAGTTAGAGCTTAAAACATTTACATTGAAGGAAAGAAAAACCGAAACTCTATATATAGAATTAGAAGTCATGCATGAAAAATGGAGTCAAGTCAACTGTTGTATAAAGAACATGTGTTTTGACAGATACTTTGTTTAACAAAGGAAAATTACACATGATGCATAAGGCATAGATTAATGTGATATTCTCCCATTTAGTTGGAATAGTAAATATAAAGATTCTCTATAGAATTTGCAACGGAATCTACCGTTGCTTACACGTTCCATAACCTGAATGGCTAAAAATTGTAAAGACTTGAATATTATGGTTGGTTCAAACTTTACCGTCACTGTCCATATGCAGAAGGCATATTTATGAAACTCATTGGAAGTTTTTAAAGTTTGAACAGTTTGTGATTCTTTGTTCTATTTCTATGAATCTTCATTCACCTTAACCAATTTTCTTGAGAGAGACTCAGAGAGAATACTAACGTGTTATGTGGTTTCAAAAAGTCAAGGAAACTATCAAGTTTAACATGTAAAGTGATAGTGAAACTCTGGACCACCAAGCGTCTGACGATTACCTTGAATGGTTGTATTGTAGTGGAGAAGAAACCATGCAGCTTCTGAGAGGCTTGAAGAGATACATAAAAGTACCCCAAGAATTAAAGAGTTTGAAACTTTGAATTGGAATTTCAGTTGTGACCATGCAAAAAAAGCTTATGTATTAGTTATACCATAAACAAACCCAAGGAATCAGTTCAACAGAGGTAGTTTATATTGATCCAGAGTTAGCAGTTACTATCTATAAATTAACAATTTTCAAAAATAAAATAGACAGTGATAAATAACTCATATATTGTATATGACACGTGCACAAATGATAATTTGATAATAGTATTTTATCATAATTTTGTTTTTTATACACTCACCTCACAATAATAAGATGATTGAACTTTAAATGATAAAATTATTTTCACAAAAAGTTACATATATTTGTGTTGATTGTAAAATCACTTTTAAGACATGAACATGAGAATCACTATAAGGTTTTAATTAGATCATTTAAAAAATTTTAATGGATAAGTATTGGTCCAAGTTATAATTATTGACCGAGTAGTTTATAATTAATCTTATTTTAAATATGTTTGAGTTTGAGTTTAATCAATCTTTCATGTCATACCAGTAACTTAAGATTTACAGTCTGATGTGGCGGAATACATAAGGATGATTAGTTGACAGTGTAAAATAATTTTACACTGTCAGTGCATAGCAATTAAATTCGATATGTTTTGAAGCTTATAGTTTTGGCCTATGAATTTGGATAATTTTTTAAATTTTATCGTGATGGGATAGATAATTGTAATTGTTGGTTTTTAATAAGGAATTTTTCGTAACCGCGAGTCATCAGCTTGTATTGACTATGTTTTGTCTTTTTTACATACAGTCTGTCGCTCCTACCGTTTGAATGGTCTAGAAAATTGTTCGAATTACGGCTCAAATTGTGGCGACGTGGATAGTTTGTTGCCCGTGACATTGTTAAAAGTCTATTGAACTTTATCATTTAAAGGTCATAATATAGAATAATAGAAAAAAAAAACGGAAAAAATGTGATGGAATAATATACATCATTCTTATTAATAAAAAAATACATACATCATTCTTAGTCTTGAGACCAATGAGATTTTTATCATTTGTGTATGCGCGCAGGTAATGTTTTTAATGAAAAGTTAAACTCTATTTACATGTAGATGATTCTCTCTTAAAGAAAATTGAAATCTAAATTTCATATTGTTTTTAACGACTCTCAACCAACTTCGAGACTTCTCGTGCAAATTTCTAAACCACTTGCAATAACTTCCTTTTACATATGTAACTTCCTTTAAAGAATTTCTTTTTTCACTCTAGATATTTCTTATGTACCATGTGGATTTTCACTTATACTTTTCGATTTCGAAGATATATCTTCGGATGCACTCTATACATTTGATCTAGTTTTATTTCGGAGATATATCTCCGAAACGATTTCTGTCACCTTTGCATGTCAAGTATTTTTGGAAATGCATCTCTAAAAATATTTGATATAGCTTGCAGTTGTATGATCTGCTCCCATTGTTGTCATACTTCATTCTCAACATAAACTCTCACCTTAAAAACCTTTCATTCTCAATCGATTTTTCATTCCAAATCTCCATCCTTTTGCTTCAACATATAATAGGGAAGAAAAGAAGATAAAATTTCAGGTAAAGATTGTTGTTTTTCCTTTACATTGCTCACATTAATCATTAATTTTTTCTAAGAAAACTTATGTTGTGTCCGGAGATGTATCTCTGAAACGTGTTTGAGTTTGAACTTTTCTGGAGATGTATTTTCGGAATATGTTTGTGTTCATTTTCCAACCTTCTGCAATAGTAGATTAATTAATGTTTTGTTATTGTTTTAATTGTTTCCAATAGATATGTTGCACCCCGACGTTTTCCCAAAACAAGTAGTTTCTCCGAATGATGTTTCTATGAATGTTCAAGGGACTGTTGTGAAGGCGGTAGATGTTGGCAACGACTTTAATGACAAGTAAGAGTTTGAAAATCGTGAGAAAATGCTTGAATGGATTTGCATGAAGGCATCTACACTTGGATTTGGTATGGCAACGGAAGGTCCGATAATGGCTTGGATAGAAGATGCGCCTTTGTAACAATATTGTGCGAAAGAAGCGGAAGATATCGAACTCCTTCCGGAATCTTAAAAGAGACGACACAAATAGTAGAAAATATGAATGTTCGTTTAAGGTTCGTGGTTAGATGTTGGTAAACAAAAAGTAGAGATTTAATGTGATATGTGATTTGCATAATCATGATTTCTGTTTAAAATTAGTCTGTCATCCTAGTGTATGTCGGCTCAAGCCAAAAGAGAAGGAATGTATTAGTGACATGACCTTAAATCTTGTTCAACCAAAAAATATACTTGCAACATTGAAACGGAAGCAACCCGACAGTATAGCAAATATCAAGAAAGTGTATAACATTTGGTACCTCACTAACAAGGCGATTAGGGGGATAGAACTGAGATGCAACAACTCTTGAAACTGTTGGACCATAACAGTTACGTGTCCCGGTATAAAACGTGCGATGATGGAGTTATGGTTAGAGATATTTTTTGGACTCATCCTGATTCGATAAAGTTGTTTAAAACATTTCTGACGATGCTCATACTTGATTCAACCTACAAAACCAATAAGTATATACTTCCATTATTTGAGATGGTTGGTGTTACCTCAACTGAGAAAACATATTCGGTTGGTTTTGCATTTATTGAGTGTGGAAAAGAGGACACCTTGACCAAAGCATTAGAGGTGTGTCAATCACTTTTGAAGGATCAAGGTAAGATGCCTAAAACAATTGTTACCAACCACGATACCGCATTGATGAACTCGGTTGCTCAGGTATTTCCTTCTTTTTTATGCATTACTTTGTAAGTATCACATAACAAAGAATGTGAGAAGTCGGGTAAAACCTCCGATAAGAACGAAACCAATAGAGTCCGAAGGTGTAAAATTGGTGAAGGCGCGTGTGATTGTCGAAAAAATAATGGATGCATGGAGTCGTATAATAAATTCTTCCACAAAAGAACTATATGTCAATTCCATTATTCATTTCCGAAAAGTGTGTGAAAAGTATCCTGCTTTGTTGAAATATGTTGAAAGCGTCATTCTTAATCAGATGAAGGAGAAGATAGTTTACGCATGGACTGATAATGTTGCGAGGGCAAGGTGCCCTAGTCTTTATTATAATGATGTCAAAATGTGTATTAGCTCGTACTTTGTAATTTGGACAGTATCATCGCATCTTAGTTTGCATTCATGCTTTATAATGCACAAAATATTCTAAAGTCATGTGTCTATACATATAGGAGCATCTCACATATGTTTTTTTTATGCATTTGATCATGTTAGGAAACTTAGGTCTGCACGAACATGACTTAGGTGTACTTAAATATGAGCAAAAACTCGTTTTTTTTGGAATTATAAGGTGTTTGAGTCGACTCAAAGACCTGCTAATTAGGTCGACTCATAAAAGTTGATTTTCAATCTTTTGCTCTCGGGTCTGCTCGCGCCGACCCTTTGGTCGATTCATATTGTGGCCATTTAAATTTATCATTTTGAAGCAAGCTTGCGTCGACGCATGACACTGTTCTGGTCGATGCATAACTTAATTTTCTGTATACTTTTGCATTCGGGTGTGCTCAAGTCGATCCCCCTCCTGCTCAGGTCGACCGTTCACTGTCTTGTAACTAATTTTCTGATCTGCTATGTTTTAAAATGTTGTTATATTTGTTAGTTGGTCATGACATCATATATATTCATTTTGTCTCATCATTTTCACATACACAACAAGAAAAGTGAAAGATATACACTGAATTGTTCTCATCATCTTCATCCTTATTCTTGCATTTTTTCAACAATTACACATAACAATTTGTGTTGATCTTTTGCATCATTGAGGTAATAACGGCCAAACGTAGGAATGTGTATCTCGTTTGGGTTGAGATTTCGGTGAGTTTTTCTTGAATAAAATTATTAGGGTTTTGTCCTCCAAGATCTTGAGGATTTGGGGGTTTTTTCACAAATCTTTGCTTCACAGATTCAGCCGAACGAAGAGGATTGAAGAACGGTGGGTTCGTTCAATCAAGTAGCGTTAACCAGAGAATTGTGTAAGGAAGATTTGGGTTCAAAAGGTGTGTGATTGAAATCAGCCGAGTGAAAGGTTTGAAGACCGGTGGGGTTGTTCAGACAAGTAACTAGAGGTTTATTCAACACGTTCGAGGCACTTGATTCGTCTTGAATAAAGGGGAGAGAAGACATAGTATCAACTTCATCATCTAGGTTTGAGTGTGTGGTGAATATTGATTCTCTTGTATAAACTTTTGCTACAAGATAATACATATCTCAATTCTAGTTTTAGAATTGGGGGCAGACGTACCCTAAGTGAGGATGAAAGGAGAACTGCCTA